TCACCACATACAAGAATCCACGTCGAGGGGAATACATTTAGAATAAAGAAGGTGACTAGAAGAATCTTCTAGTAAAAATAATTGATATAGAATTTTGCTAATTTATTTTTGTTTTATTCAAATATAGCTATAAATAAAATAGGTTAAGAAATCACACTGGATGTATCTGTAACATGATGATGCACACAGCTGTAGAACTCACATAGTAGTGATTTGTAAAGTTTCCTGCTTCACCAATTTTCTAGAAATTTGGATGCAAAAAGTCACTTGCACTTTGTAAGAGCAAATTCTAAGTCATGCACTGCCCTCAAAACTAGTTCATCCATTATGAATCATGCTGCTGTCTGATGGCCATGATTATGCACTATTGCTCAAATTCATAATTTTCATTATAATAGGCTTCTACAGATGACTGAGAAATAGGTCACAGACTACACATTGTAATAAATGTTTGAAAGACTCTACCAGGTGATGACATAGTCTTTAAAGATTATGCTTAAGCAAATAAAATGTACTAAAGTTCAAAAATATGTTGTAGGTAACTTCACAATCACATGGGAGAGGGGATAATATAATGCTGGTTTTATTCTCCATGGTTGGCAAAAATGCTTGATTGTAGACATGTGACTTGATGCTAGCCATATCCTCTTGGCATTCTGGCCACACAGTACATGAATTTCTTATAACATAACTGGTGTTGATACTTTCTCCTCATAATACTAAAGACCCACAAATGGTGGGGTGCTGTTTAAATTGTTTTTATGTCCTTATATGACTACAGTGATCTTCCCTTGCCAATGCTATTCTTTATATCATAGACATTCAGTATTGAAATTGGTATACTTTGGGTTTTACATTTCTTTGTTTTTTAACAATACAAATACCCTTATTTAGAAAGAACTGTGACATATTCCTCCAGTCGTAACTTTACTCATAGAATGAGGAATTCACTCTGAACAAAATATATAATTATAAACAAGTCTCCTTTGATGTCATAGCTCACGTATTTGGTGATATGTTGATGCACTAGCATAAGCAACTCATTTTTATGCAATTCACCTTCATATAGTTACTCCTAAAGCACATTTCGCAGCAACAATGTAAAATCAAGTTTCTACAAAAATTAAAAAAAGACTATTTAAACATGCTGGTTTAGTGAGACTTACTGACCAAACAGATTTCAGTGTGGAATTACTAATTTAAGAAAATTTATATAATTAACTGATGAAAATTATTCACATAAACTTTATAGTAGATGAAAGTCAATATCTAATACTAATATGTCTTAGCATATTACCAACATAAAAAAAAATCTCTAGAAAAAATAGTACTAATACAAACATCTAATATGTTAAGGTGCAAAACAAAGAATAAGTAGAACCATGAAGAACAAATTATACATATATAAAGTCAGTAAGAGACAAACATTAGGAAATAATAATCAGAACCATGTTTACTACTATTCAAAACAATCTACAAAAACATTAGTACACTTATGCATGATATCACCATTAAAGAAAGCCCTGAACATTTAAATCACATTTAAAATTCTCTTAGGAAAAAATACCTTGTAGAATACAAAATTAATGCAAGAAATTATCATTAACAAATCTAACACTTATTCTGTTGTTTGCTCATCCAGTACCTGGCCAGTGTCTGTAACAACCAGACAATGAAGTGCTCCAACAGCTATATGAGTTATCTTCTTCCCTCTTAGTCCTTCCACTAATTGTGGTCGTCGCACATGGGCATCAGATCCATGCCCTAGTCGGAAATAGTCTCCTTTGCCCCTGTATAGAAATAGTATGCTTTTAATTAACATTCATCTACAAATTGTAAAATCCTCTGATGGTGAATAGTTCTGGTTGTAATGTTTATTTTCTGATCTAGCTGGAATTTTATATGTAATTGTTTTTTTCATCTAACAGCTTGCTGTCATAATACCACAATCAAGTCTTGCTTTGGTATTATGATATCAACTTTTCAATCCATCAATCATCTTTTACATATATAAATTAGTTTCAAGTCACTGTATGGAATCTTTCTAGCACTGTACCACTAATTCTGACAATCTATCACAGTCAATCAAACAAGCTTTCCTTCTTATAAATACACACACATACCATGTCCAAACTTGTCCACTCTTGGTCAGTGCTATTGAGAACTGGGCGCCACACTCAATCTGACACACTCCAAGTCCATTCAGTCTTTCTATGTTATGAGGAACATTACAGCCCTCACTACCTCCTCTACCTAGCTTCCCAAAATCTCCATCTCCCCAGCTGTACACCAGACCATCGTCAGTTAATGCAAGAGTTTGAGCATCTCGACTGCCACAAGCCACCTGAATCACTCGTTGCCCACTAAGAGCCAGTACCTGGTTGAAAGATTATATAAAAAAAAAGACAAATAGTAGTTTACATTCTTTCTTACAGTACAAATAAAACATTCAGTCAGTAATTTCTTCTATAGTTCATAGTTCGTATACAATGACTAACAAAAATAACCATTACCTGAAAATTATGTCCTACTGTCCTTCAGCACTACCTATCAGTCAAGATGTGTTTTTGCATGTACTGCACTCAAATATTCCTATTTTATTGAAATAATTTTTTACTGAAATAATTTTTTTTAAAACTTTATCACTTTTACACACACATGAATTAATAAAATTTAAATATGTTTTAGTAATATCCAAAAACCAAAAATTTTGCAATACCTTTTACGCTTCACTTTTGATGATTATTTTTTGTGGATGAACTCCAAAGAAATAAATGAGTAGGAACTAACATGATCCAATAATACTATATATAGCATTTTGCCAGTTTATTTCAGCCAATCTGCACAAATCATGTTTGAAACAAGTTTCACTGAATAAAACATTGTAACTCATGAAGACTGTATTTATCCACTTCAACTATCAAATGTAATGAACACTGTATATTAGTCTAGTTGATGCATGAAAAAGATGTATGGGGGTTTGTAGTATACAAAACATTGCACTCATGAGGTGAAACTGATTATAGAAGTTTGGTTTCACTTGAAATAGTTTGAAGAAGATTATCTTCTTATAACAAGAAAAAACCCAGCTTCAGATGAATACTTTGAGTTTCAAGAATAATTGGAGTGATAGTAAGGTTTACAGATTTTAATGTCTCGTTTATTTACAGTTGCATGCACACACACAACAAAAAAGGAAAAATGGATGATGCATTTTTAAAAGTTTAGGTCTTTAAATAATGTAAACATTCTTGAACTTTTGATGGCATTTGAATTAAAATAATGGACATTCAATTTTATCACTGATGTGAGCAAAATAAGTAGGGTTGGTATCAAAATTGTATGCTGATCTGGGATCTGTTTCTGTGTCTGGTAACTCCTCCTAGACTACTGAAGCAATTTCGGCCACACTTTGTATGTGACCTTGAGGAATCAAGGCCAATATAAAAAGGTATAACATAAATACTGTTCATGAAAGTATAGGGTACCCCAAAATAAGTAAACAATCTTGCTATGGGCTTTGTCGAATCAACCAAGTTTTTGACTCCAAATTGACCTTTGTACTTTCGATACTATAACTTCCACTATGCTTTCTGTATCTTCACAATATTGTGTAAATATTCAGTAAGCATTAAGAATCTTTTGTATATAAAAAATCAGAATTTTTAATCAAGTATTTTTACTAGAAGCTTCTCCATGAATATATGGAGTCAAAATATTGAAAGCTTTAACTGCAAAGTTATTTTCATATTAAGATGAAAAATATTTTTCTTCATCTGAAAATTGTCAAACTTCATTTGCATAATTTCTAAAACCTCATATATGAATTTAAAATCTATTTCAGTAAAACTTAATATTTTTTCTGTTATTTTCTCTGCCTTAACTCAATACACATTTAGTCAATTTGACTGACCACATTATGACCATAAAAAAATATGAAATAAATATAAATTACCCTTATTTTTTTTCTAGAACGACTTCATATTGTAACATGAAACTAGATATGTTTATCCTAAATAGCATAAAGCTTGTAACAATATGAAACTGTTTTACTTATATTTTATTGCCCTTTCAACTGTGTCTAACTAATAATCACACCATGAAAGATATAAATCACTTGGTGAACAGGTAGCTCACGTTACCCTATTGAATTACATAACACAAGGGCTACTTGCATTTTGCTCACAAGTGTACCTCGTGAACATTTTTTAAAATTATTTTTTCTTTATTTTACCTAAACTAACCTTACCTAACTTCAATAGTTTCAAATTTTTACATTTTAGTTACTTTTATAATAATAAACAAATAAAGAATACACGTGAAAAACAAAAAATATAGTACTTACCTAGGTTTTTTTTTTTGCTGTTGACTGTCGATGAAACTTAACCCTACTTTTTTATAGTAATGGTACTACTACACTTAATTTTTTTATTTAATTAAATACTGCACAAAGATCATGGGATAATAATAAGTAAAAATAAGGCAATATTACATAACTATCATAATTTTTCTGGATTTCTAATTATGTGATGAGAACCATTAAAAATTCAGCTAACCTCATCAATGTGTTTCCTATGGGAATAAAGTTTGAACTAAAATCAAAGTAGACAATTCTCTGCACAGAAAACAATGTAATTCATCATTTGATAGATTAAACTTCTGGCTTTCTATCAGTTATAAGTAATATAGTATGAAATGTCAAAGAGAACTATTGGCAATTTGTGAAGGAAAGGATGTGACAGGTAAACATGGCAAGAGGGATCTGATTTTCTATTTTATGACTCTGTAACCAAATAAAATTGAAGGCTATAAAAACTATGTTTTGCCTGAGTAATAACATTACAATGAGTAATTTTCCTTAAATTCCATACTTCTTGGAAAGGTGGTAAATAAATTAGAGAAGTGGGAAGACCTAGATTGTAAATGTCACAATTTTCATATTAGGAGAAACTGAGGAATTTTTAAAAATATCGCCTTATAAAATTAAGGACATAAAGTTTATATAATATTAAAATTTGGATAATTAGCTATATTTAGATGCCAAGCTTATTCATATGCCACAATAATAAAGTAGTTTAATTAAATTTTGAATGTAACTTAGTAAAACCTCATGACATGTGCAGAAGGGAATGCCCATATGGAAAGTGTTAAACAGCCACATATAGATTAAAGTATGTAAGAAAATACAGGTTAGACCCTGTACTGGTGAATAAAAGCAGGGAATTTTTTAAACTAGTAAAATTGTCATTGAAAACAGATTACGATAGCCCGTATGAAAAAAAAACAATCAAAAACAAAACCAATATTACATTTTTAAACTGAATAAATTGTAAAACTTTATGAAAACTTATTGATTACAAAGTTATCATTCCAATTATGCATTCATCACGAAAAGCATGCAGTGGTGGTGGTGCCATTTTGCTTTCATTAAAAATAAAACAAACAAAATGTAGAAAACCGCACATCTACTTTATTTCTAATGTGTATTTAATGTTGTGAAGAACTAGGTATAAATGATTTATTGCTAAAATGCTGGCCTGAAGTCATTATCTATACCTAACAAATATTCAAGGTCATAGTGCAAACAAGTGTTCAGTGTGAAACATATTATTTAGATTATAATTGTTGTTTGTTAAGCATAAAGGTACACAGTGCACCATCATTTTCTGTGCAGAAACGGGTGCTTGCAAGAAAGGAGTTAAGACAAAAATCAAAGTTTACAAGGTATTTGTTCTCACTTCACTTCTTTACAGTGGTGAGTTATGGACACACTATTGGCACCACACAAAGCAACTAGATGTATTTCACCTTTGCTGTTTAAAATTCATTTGCAATATCAAATGGCAGAACAGAATTTCCAATATTGAAGTTCTTAAGAGGTACTGCATCCAAGGCATTGAAAGCACTTATCAGAGCCTAGCTCTGTTGGGTTGATTATGTGGTTCACATGGAAGATGTCCACACACCAAAGGTGGTATCTACAATCTGTATAGGTGCCAATTTTGGTGCAAACAAAGAGTGACAAATCACCACTTGCCTTATATTTTGAAGAATCCTAGCTCAGTATTTTTATTAGCCATACTGTTGTGTAATAATGTACCTATTAAGAGATCATGTTTCGGTAGTTTAGGCATTATACACCATAAGACTTGATGTTTTTAATATTCTGGATAATTAAATGCAATCCTTATCTACTAAGATTGCACTTAAATTTGCTTATACAAGTAAAATAAGTTATCTACCTGACGGGGTTTCAATTGAGTCAGGTTGTCTCCATGTCCAAGTCGGCCATACTCTCCTAAGCCCCAGGTATACAAGTCTCCATTTGATGTTATGGCTGCACTGTGAGAGCTACCACAAGCAACATCTCTGATCCTCTTTGACTTCAAAGTTTCAATGAGTTTTGGCCGATCTTGTGTCCTTTACAAAAATTACTTCTTAATGCCAATCACTTAAAAACATCTTAGTATAAACTAGTTTACTAGAATAACCTCTTTAAACTTTGGTATTAAGCTATAACATAAATATTTTTATGAAAATTATCCTATAATTGTTTAAAACTTCATTTTCTATTTAAATTATACCTGAACTACACATAAATATTCAAAAGCTGGAATTTTTAAATTCATATAGATCACAATAATAACTTTAAATTGACCATACATTATTATTTCCTATAAAGACTACAAAGAATAATATTCCAAACAAGATTTTCTTCTGTTTGTTTGTTTTTCAATGCAAATTTCACAATTGGCTATCTAAGCTCTGTCCAAAGTAGATATTGAAACTCAATTTTTAGCATTATAAGCTCTCAGACTTACTACTTAGCCATCAGGGGGGGGGGGGGGGAGGTTCTCCTCTAAAATGTACATATAGATCAAACACTTAAGGTTAAAGCTTTTGTTATTTTTCACAAAATATACACAAAGATTTATTTCTGACAATAACTTTCCCATAATGCTGGGTTTCACGTAAGCCATAGCACACAGACAAATTCTCCTGTAACACCTAAAAAGTGCTTGCATTAACAACAAAAGGAGATGAATGTAAGAAGAATAAATAGTCAACAGTAATTCAAGTAAGCCACTGCATTTTGGTAGATTTACTGGCTAATAAGGTTTTGCATCAGAATACTGAATATCTTTAGGGGCCTCGAATCAAGAATGTTTGGGAATCCCTTCTCACATGTATTCTTTTTAATATAACTTTACTCACACTCTGTTTCCATGTCCAAGTTTTCCATCATCCCCTTCTCCCCAAGAGAAAATTTTTCCATCCACAGTTAAAGCTAAAGCATGTCTACCACCTACAAACCACATGGGTAAATAATACACAATAAAATTATTTTAAATATATCATTTTTACAGATAATATATTAGATATAAAGTTAACTGCTGGATTCACATAAAAGCTAAATCAATGTCAAACAATATTTCTACCCATTACAGTTTAAATGCCAAAAGCTAGCAAGGTGTTATAAACCAATAGGCCTAAGAGATGTTATAAAAATGTTTTCAGCATTTAAGCTTTAGCTTCTAAAGTATTATAATGTGTATATATATATATATATATATATATA